TCAGTGTGCTCTTGGTTGTCGTCTGGGTGAGCAGACCGAAGTAGACTACTGACTCTCCAGCTGACGGTTTTTACAGTCCACATCTGTTCCATCTGCTGTCGCAGATTCCCAGCACTTCTATGCCACATCTTCGCATTTCTTTGACCACCTCGGCAGCCTTCCAAGCCTCGTACATTGTACGTACATTCTGCATCCTCATTCTTATTCTTGCTTTCATCGAGAGAAGACGAATTGGCTGACTGACTGGCTTCCCGAAGGCTTTCACCAGCCCACGTTAGTTTGCCTCTCCTATTCCAGCGAAGAATAAGACTATCATTTGAATTTTTTGTATTTTTAATATACTTTCTGTGTGTCGAAGTTACTCTATCAGTTTAATAGCTCTTGTAGTGTAGGGTCGCTAGCCCCACGTCCAACCCTCCCTCTTTACACGGGCTTGGGACCCGCCAGAGAACCAGCGAGCTAGTTAACTAGGTGAGGTTTAAGTCCTACTTTTGACGATACAATAACAAACATCTGTAAAAATTTAAGATCGTGGAGTGCTATCAGAATATTTTCAAATATATTGATATTTAGAAACTAATTTGTTTTCATTACTTTCCAGTTCAAATGTTGCTGGAATATATAGATTAAACACTTACATCTACCATTTCTTCTCTTAGATTGGGACCATTTTTGAAATTGTTAAAATGGTTCATCTGTCTTGTTTATGGTTATGGTTGTGGATATATGGTATGCATTCTGCCAAGAGTATGGACGCTGTCAATAATTATTTTTCATTTGTTCATAGTTAGGGAAGGAAATCAGCCGTGAAGTAATAACCCTCGAGTTACAAACGTTAACATTGTGCAAAATATGGTGGTACAAATAAGTCTGAAATATCTGTGGACGCCATTAGACTTTTCTTTGAGGACATTTTATATTGATTTTATGTTCTCATATGACCACGTGACTTTTCCGGTGTTTCCCGAATACGTTGACCAAATTGAAGATTTCGCGTGTCTTTTTGTCTTTTTGAAGTATTTTGGCTTCATATATGCCCAATATAACAGCAGGGATTCAGTTGCTATTTTAAGACAAACGAATGTGTAGCATTTACTGTTCGTGAAATTATGAATCTTCGGGTTCACATGTGACGCTGCTCACTAAGGTGGACGACTATGTAGCAATTTAAACAAGTCGAGTAAACGTCCTAGCTTGGTGAGTGTGGTGCCAGTACCTTGGTAACTTAGGGTAAATGAGACCTGTTTCATAGATCTTGGTTTCCTCGGATTTTTTACAGGGTGCATGCATAGTAGACATCTATATCCAAAGGTGAATAACGTTGAAAAGTTTGAAGTGACACTGATCAGAGGTATTTCGATGTAGCAGTTATAAGTAAGAGTTAGTATGATGTCGGAGTCTCTTTCTGTGGAATTGAAGTTGAATGAGTATTTTGCTCGTTACTCTAAGTAATTCCGCAAGGTCATTAATGGTTGCGAACCTTTAGTATTTCAGTCGAGTGATTAAACTTAAGGTATGCGACTAAGCATCCTCACCATCTGGCAATGTCTTTTTACGACCGGTTGTTCGTATATGGAGTCTAGTCACAGAGCAGACATGACGACCCTTCATTTTTGATCCCTAAATAAATTTCGTATTTTGATTGATCGGTTTGTTGTTGTCAGTTAACCTCTGAAAACTTACATGGTCTAAGTAGCACAAGTTCCGTCGAACCTGAAGGATTTTCAGTTGTGTGCGCATGTAGCCTATCTTGCATACTTGTCGACATCCTTCATCTCTTAAAGTGGTTTGCCCCTAGACAAAATTCACCCTATTCCAGCGAGTTCGTTTTATTTTTCACTTGTTCACCTCTAATATCCTTTATAATTTTTCACCTAAGCCATTTATGTCATCCATGACTAGACACCCAGATTAATATGTGTCCAGAGGACTAATACCCTGATCAGCCTTTCGGGCCAGACAACGTAGAAAAGTGGTTTCTTTTTCCTTAAGTTGGCTTCTGTGAACAAAGCATAACTGTTCCAATTCCTGGCAATCATGGCTCTCTTTCTTGGGAACTAAAAGATTATGCCACCTTGAACATGTTCACCACAGAGTTAAATAATCCCTGCAAGGTGCTTAAAACAGTAATCATGAAGAGAAATGATTTCTCGTGTTACCACCTTGATGAACTCTTCCGCAATGTCCGGTTAGAGAACTGTCCGGCTGCACGTGTTTCTAAAGAGTGCATGAAGTCATAGGGCAACAGAAATTCGAGAAGAGGCTACTCAAAGAGTTGTTTCTATTTAAGCTCCATGATCAGTGCAGACTGTACCCGCGACACCTTAAGGTGTTTCCACAGGTGACTCAGCTGCATTGACTGATATAACTCAGGATGTACGGCGATGGTCAGTAACTGAATTTCGCTTTATCTGCACTCGATCAGCAGGTGATGAATTTGGAATGACTGAGTTACGCATCTCTGTCAAACAAATTTTTCAGTCCAGCTAACTCTCACACTTCTTCAAGTCTCTAGAGTAGTTCATCTCTAAAGAGAGACTCACACGGTTGTTCAAAATCTAAATTACGTGCAGCCATGAACCCACACTTGTGCTGGTATAATATTGCTTACAGCCACAGGGAAAACTTGTGCCGGAAATCCCGTAGATTCTACAAGGATATCAAGACTAGGGAACTACTCCCCCAGCACGCGTTAGCCGGCGTACATTTAGGATGTCGTCATTGAAACTCTCTACCTCGACGAAAACTTTGAGGAGGACAGTGTCCCCCCTGCCCCATAGGGTAACTGACGGAAGGAGCATAGAGAGGGATAAATATATATTATTATCAGCTAATCTTTAATTTAATAGCTGAGGAAGGAAGACTCATGGCAACCTTCGGAAGGTTTGTTAATCTGAATGTAGGTTTACGCAAACCTATTCAGTGGATGTCTTCTCTCTGACGTTAGGATCCCTATCATAGGTACAGATCAGCTTAGCCATCACGGCCTACTAACAGATCTCCCCCATCCCCTACTGATGGAAGGCATCACAGAACTGTCAAGTGATCGTCAAATATTTTCGCTAGTCATCAACACGCCCGACTGTCTCACGAAGGATTTACGTGCTTAGGCAATAATGCTATGCGTTTCATCACAACTAAAAGCCCAATTGTGCCCTCAAGTTCTTGGTGGTCATCTCTTGATAAACTAAAATTAACCTAGAATGACATTATTCGGTGGCAAAATAGCCATTGGTCAACCCCCATCATATAGTACCAAGATGGCTGGGGACAACTTTCAACTGAAACGTAATCACCCGAGATTGAAAACTACCCGAAATTTCTGTATGTTTTCAAGGTCTATACAACACAGGATGTAATCAGTCGGGGGTAGATAGTGGTTAAGGAATTCAGATGGATGAGACTTGTAATCAAGTAAAAGCTACGTCTTTATGATTTGTATTGCTCTCTGCGCCCTTGTTTTACCAAGCTTTTCGACTGAACGCATCCATTAGACTTGAGGCTATTTATCTTGTGCTGCACTTCAAGGCCGTTTTACTCATGCCAGTCGAGGGGTTGTGTTGGTAGGGCAGATAACTCTGAATGCTTCCTTGGGGATGTGTAGACATCTAATTTCCTTATAGATGAGACATTATTATTATAAGGAAGGTTCCTGCGATGTTAACATCAAGTCTATCACTAGTGTGGTAGTTTGAGATTAATTTCAATGGAAACTATTTTAAAGTAGCAATGAACTTTTGGGTAGTGCGTCATGGGTCCGGGCAGCGTACGCTGATAATATCTAAATGTATCAAGAACTGTGTAACCGGTTAAGTAGTAGTTTTTGAGTACTTTATCATGCAGGCATGTAAGCAATGATTTATATAAAATGATATTTAGAGCTGACGATAGATTTTCAGGGTTATTCCTGATGCACTTACTGACATCTTCAATGGAATCGTTTACATAAGAGCTGTTTTCGGCTTCTGTGTGCCACTGTGTAATGAAAATTTTGTTATCAAACTTCACTAGTGATCAAATCCTCTGTGCATTCCAAATCTGTGAAAATTTCATGATTAGAGCAGGAAGAATACTTCGAGTAAGATAAAATGGAGCCATTATAGATGGTTGGATCTTATCAACTATACGTCTGATGAACGCACTTAACATTATCAGATTACTGAAGTAACCGTCAACTTGAAGTTACTACATTTACTTGTACGACATGAAGCAACATATTTTTGCCATCTGGCAGTATAGAGGTGTCGTGTCCTCCTTGGCATACAAGACCGATTGAAGTGTGGTGCAGAGTGGCCCAGTAATTCTCTGGCTCATGCAAATAGCAGGTGTGTTTGTTTCCCCATCCAGTTTTCCATGAGATGTAGACCATAACTCGGAAATCAGTGGGCTCATAACGCGATGCATTCGGTTCAGCCTGCTTCCCTCTGGTTGCAGTCTGAAGATATTTTTGTACAACCATGTTTAAATAAGTATTCATGAATTTGTTCTTAAATACTCAACCACTTGGACCTATTTATGATGGACCATGCAGGACCATTAAATTGACAGTTAAATTCTTCTTTTTAGGCGAAAATGTTCAACCGCCTAAAACTGACTTAACTAGAGGGTGATTCTTTGAACATCGATTAATATGCTGCGTGAAATCCCTCCTAAAGAATGACTTCTGCTACTTAAAGAGTTAAGCAGCACCCTGAAGGAAGTGGAATAATTTGTTGAGACACGGGAAGACACACTCCGGATGGACCATCAGGTTCCCGGAGTGTCTCCGAACTTCTCGTATCGTAGAAGATGAACAGACCACCTATTTTTAAAAGTTGTCTGTATTGCTTATGGGACACATTCCTCTGTTTTGTGTGTCTATCAGTTGACTGTATCCTGCATGATAGGCTGGAAATATTTTATATTATGTTTTATGCATTTATGATTAGAATGGGGACGATTCGCATGAGTCAAATACGTGGATATTGTTATTAATCTGAAACAATTCCTCATACATGTAACCAAGTTTAAACATATTCATAAATAAAAAATCGGAATACCTAAGCTGAAAGACCATTTAAGTGTAAATTGGTTGAAATGATTGCGCCGAAAATATAAGATTGAAACATGAACGTCGTCTGTGTTTTGTTTTATATGTTTCAATTTTCTTGTAGCACATTTGAAATGTTTGCTTGTTTTCACTTTAATTCGCGATGTAAATTTTTAACTCAATGAAGCCATCCTCTTCTGTGAGTTATTTCTTTACTTGTATCACTGCAGCTTTTTTCAAGTTCACCATTTAGTTATTTACAATACTACCTTCTTTTTTGACGTCGGGTCGGTCTCCCTATAATTTTAACAGTGTCTTTACTACCAACAAACTTTTACCGCCCTGCATTTTACGTCTGTCAGCAACTGGCTGCCATAAAATCTTTTTTCATCATAAAGTTTCACTCTCAGTGTTTTCCCTTTTCCCTCCCACCCTATATTTTTCATCGAGTACGGGATGAATGAGGTGGTAACTACAAATCGCCGAATTGCTTTTCCCTTATATTATGAATCGTTTTTAATGCATTGATGACTTAGAAACTATACTGAGTATTAAATCCTCCTCTTTTGAAGCTACTTAAAACAGTTCAGCTTGTTGCTGAATACCTATCTACCTTTGGTCATTTATCAATGAATAAACACAGAGGGTAATTGACAAGTCACTATTATAATTGACATAGAGCACAGATTATAAGAATATAAATTTTTGAGCTCACTGCAAATTAAAAGTTTCAAAGGTTTGAGATTTATCATTTTTTTCTAAATTGGGATTAAAAGTAGTCAATCCCTAAGTATTGACCTTATGCATTTATTGACAAAGATTACAAGTAAATATATGCCAAGTAAAATATTCAGTAAAGGGCTTGTATACATCTACATTTATTTATATATACTGTAGTTGAAACTTTCACAAGCGCCAATTATCGTCTTAACGTTTTTATCAAGGGGTGTAGTGAAGAATAGTTTTTCTTTCATTTTGTTGTTTTACCCTATTTAACCTGTCTAGCTGCCGTTCATACCAGCAATTTTTTGCCTCCATCAGTTGAAACATGTTACCTTTTGAGAGAAGATCCACGCAAATTTGTTTAATATTCATCCAAAGTTTTAGTAGAAATATAAAACCTTCTAAAATGGGGGCTTACAGCAAGACTAAATAGCATTCCCTTATACTTTTTGACGATAGTCACTGAGGAAGTGCAGTGAGCTGAAATCAATTATGCAAGGACCGATGTTGATTTTATTCTTTTCAAACTAATTTTACCGCTTATCACCCTACTTTAAAAAATAGATATGAATTAAGTATATTGTCAAAGAAAGCATTTTGAAAATGACAGAGGAGGCACTTCATATTACGAAAGCTATTTACTTTAAATTACATAGCACCCTAAAGCATGCTAGGTAGAGTCATCTGACTTGACGCCTTCACTCTAACAATTCTGTTGTTATTTTGATTGATTCTGATACATGCAAATAAGTAGAAATCAATTTTCCAGGAGTTATTTTAAGAATTTATTTACTGATACAAATTAAGAACATTGGGTCAACTTAGTTTTGCCTTTTCAGAGCACCAACAAAATGCAGGTGTGCATGCATTTAGACTGACCCAAGGAAGTCACTCATGTTTTTCTTTACCTCTTGGAATAAATTAACTTTGAGGTAGCCGGATTGCTTTCCTACGTAAATCTAATGGTATTTGGTGAGTTAAAACCACTCAGAAAGAGCAGTGATGTAGTATATTTAAGATACTGATCAAAAGGGTTGAGCTATTTTGTTGGGAAAATCTTCTTTTCCGAAGAAACTTTTCAAACCCGTCAAACAGACTACCGTAGGCTCATAATGAAGCATAATTTGGACGTTTATAATATTGCGAAATGGCGCAACTGGTACTGAATCAATTTCGCACACGATTCATCTGTTTGTTCCGAAATAGTGAAGAGCACTGCGTTTGTACGAAGAAGGTTGTGACGAAGTCATCATACTTAAAACGCTCACATAATTCGTCAGAATTTCATCAAGATTTTAATATGGCAACTGCAGCTTTACATATGTGTTAAATTATGATTTTCATTGTGAGATATTAAAGTCAACATTTATAACTGTTTTCCAGTAATTGTCGCTATTAGTTTGTGGCTTCTGGGACAGTATAATCCTTTGATTCATTGTTTTAGACTGTATGTTCAGTATCACGTCTTCACTGCTACCTCTAAAACTGCTGTATATCCATGAAATAGAGCGTTTCATAAATTTTGCAACACGTGACTAACGTGGCTTAAAACCTGCTTCAGAGGTGCAAATACTTTAAAATTCATTTCCCCTGTAAATACATCTAAAACACTCCCACGATAGTTTTCTAATTAACCAATCATATGTGAATTTAGCAATAAATAAGTGCATTTCGAAGGCACTAAAATGAGTTTGTTTTTCACTATCTTAATTTCTTTTACGAAATGGTTAAACTATTTGTTTTCTTCCCACAGCATTTGATGAAACTAGTTTATTTAACATTGACGGTTGTCATTTCTTTACCCTTAAAACCTATTATTGGGTGACTTGAGGTAATCGGCAGGAAGCCTTTAACCTGATTCTCATACTTACTGGTACTCGCTAGCACGGCGTATTCTCAAACTCGAGTAAAGTTATGTCCCTTGAGAGATTTAAACTCACACCATCCAGTATCGCAGGTAAATGCATTGCAGCTGAGTCATTTGAGTTAACGAAAACATTGTCATTGATGTACATCTTCTTGTGGATTTTTATTTTCCACTTCTAAAATTCTTAGCTGGCTAAACTATTAATCTTTCTTTAAAAAGCCTGATTAGAATAGAGTTTCACTAAGGAGTCTGGCTAATATTTTAAAGTGCTTTTTAATTGCTCACCCTTCAAGATTTACTGTCACAAATAATTATCTGTGGAGGGATTATTTTATCTTCTGCAAAGTACATTAATCGGCTTTTTTTATCAAAAGTGGATTCAATCGAAACCCTTATTAAACGTAAAGTAAGCTTGATAAAAGTATTGACGCCTGTTTACCTTCTCTCAGACACACATAATAAAGCTTTTTGTGTAGGACGTAGTCTTCTTTCTCCTCTCAAGGCACTGCAGTAGTGTGACTCACTCTCCCGTCTATAGACGGAAATTAGAGTTTTTGAGACCAGTATGACAAGCCTTAACGTTTAAATGGTACATATCATGTTACAGCTACACTTGCCAATATCTGTAACACTTTTATTAGTGAGTAATCGGTTAATGTTGAAAGCTGTGGATTTTATCCACAGAATCGAAATACTGTTGTTCAAAGCTGTCTGAGCTAAGCTTTTCTGACCATTAGTACTTATGTCACCTAAAACCACCCAGAGTGAAAAATTGCCATACGACACTTCAGTTAACGAGTGGTAGCCTTTGCAGCAAGTCAAGATACAACTCATAAATCCATTGTAATATCAACAGAAATATAGAGTCACCTGTATATCACATATGGTATAGCGTAAAGGTACTTACTAGTGAAATAAGGTGTCCGAGCTTAACGGTTTTAAAGTCTTGAATTAAATGAAATGGGTGAAAATGTGGATATTTTAGGCGTGAAATTATGCGGCAGAATGAGAGACTATAGATGCCTAATTTGATTTATGAGAACTCACTGTTTCATATTTTTATCAGTATTGATAGGATCTGTTCAGTGGCTGATAAATTCTCAAGTATTAACTGGCAGGTTGATTGCAAGTTTTACTCGGATCACTTCCGATTATGGTTCACTTATTCTTTCTTCAAATATCTCACAGCAACTATGATATTTCTTGATTGCTGAAGAGGAAAGTAGTTACATTTGGAATTGTAAAGAAATATTTAGATTTAAATGATGGCATTTTATTTATAATTCTGCTTTATCTACGAAAAGACGATTACAAATGAAATAAAATTCTAATGTAATGGGCACAGCGTATGAAGATAGCATATTTTGTCTTTATTGTATGCAAACATAGCACCGTATACGACTGATTGACTAACCACGGTTGAACTCTGCGCAAAATAACAACAGACAAAGTTTTTTTTCAGGGGTACACAAATAAAGAGGAGAAAAGTGGTAAAAATGATCGACCAAAAAAAACTAGATAAAGTCAGTGATCATTTCCAGAATCTGGATGATAAAAAGGAATGAATACATCTGCTAACGACTTAAAATCATGTCACCAACATTCTCCAATCACTGAGTTTCAGTATTTCGAGTGAATTTTCAGCCTGTCATTGTATGAGTCAATTGGCTTTCAATGTCTAGTATTTCATCGGTAATCTTGTAGAATTTCCTTCGCAGCAACTATTGGTTAGCGCAATACAAACTGCAAACTCAAAATTTAATGGAATTATATTAATACAACTTAAAAAGTTTAGGTAAAAGTTTATGTTCTACATGATAACTATTTTATTTCTTAGTGGATTAGTAGAGTGCAAGGCTATTAACCACAAGCACCAATCCACAAATTAAGTCAATTAAAAAACATAGCATCAATGAGACCAATAACATGTTTTAACAGCATGAAATGGGATAGCAGACACTAAAGAAAAAGGCATAAATATTCGGTTGTGAAACAGGTTGAAATCACCATGGAGAATCGTTTACTATGAGCAATAAGTGATACCAAATAAGTTAGCAGAAATAATTAATCTGGAAAAATTCTTAATGAAGTTAACAAAAGATTTTCACGTAAAAATAAATACATTTTTCATAGTTTTTAAAATGATTCATAATTGTCACTTGACATCATTTCGTTTGTAGTGTGAACTATGAATCAAATGGTGTCTTGAAACACGCAGTAGAGTGTCCAGTGAAGTATACGTTCATCTTTGTCTTTAGTTTACTGTATTTTGTACGAAATTATCATGTTTGGTATTTACATTTTCACACTAATATTTGTTCGGGCCAATCCCTACACAACAACACGAATAAGTGGTGGGATTTAATAACAAGTACTCTGTTCAAAAGTGGAGAAGAAACTGATGTTAGAAGAAGCTTGTTACTAGTTGATTTAGTTTGTCTATTTGACTATTCAGCCGGATGTATAAGCTGAATTAGTAACCATGAGTGACTTCAGTTATATAAAAAAGTAATTGAAATTAGTGTAAGAATTCCCCAGTTTATTAGCGGAAGCTACTAAGGAGGCAGAGAACCCCACTTATGTTGTGAGGCACATACAAACTGTATTCCCTTTCAATTTATTCTTTGTTCTCCGGATTTTGTATGAAAATGGGAAACCATACTCGTAAACAGACATAGGATTTCACCGTAAATTTCTCCATAGGAAAGATTTATACAGCTGTTACTCAGTACATTTCACTCTTCCTTGTTAACTGTATTGGAATTCACCAGGTTGTTAAGAGAACTGTACTTGTTTAAGGAGTATAAAATACAAGGGAACTAACAGTCTTGGAAGTGAGATTGTTATTTAGAGAAGAATGGAATTAAAGTGAGGGTGATTTCGAATCAATGAAAAACAACTAGAGATAAAAGAAAATAAAAGTAGACGTTTTCTAAGCCACTGTCCAAGACTATGGTGGAAATGAGAGCTGAAAAGTTTCTTTAGCATCACCGTAACTTTTTCGCATATATGACAAAGACTCAAGGTACATCATTCCCGGTATTTTTTTATCACTTTGTATGCGAATTCAGACTGTGGATCTGCTGAGGTGTTGTGACTTATGCTTACACAACGTTCGATTATTCCATTTCTGGGAGGCTAACTGGCACCACTTTGTAACGAAGGCAAACTATTCTCTCTTAACCATTTTGAAACGGATATGGAAGTTTGTCTACAGCTTTGCTTAGAAAACATTCCTTTCAGGGATAATGTAAAGGAAATCTTCTTTGAAGCATTACTAATTTCTCTCCTTAAAATTGTCTACAGTAAATTAAGCCTCAAAGTTTAGACGTCTGTGTATTCGTAAAATAAAAAAAGAAACTGTTTAATGTACAGTTTATATGGTTTTAGAAATATTTTCTGATTTACAGCTGCTTTGATTTTATAATGCTTCTTTGACAATTTATGGCAACTGTAGTGACATCATAGCATAGGTGTATGTAGTTTTTCAGGCAAAAATAAATGAGTGTAAATATAAATAAGTCAGCAGTATTTGCAAAAAAATTAAACAGCGCTGGGATCGCGCATATTATATTTGTTACCACTATTGAAACACTCTAGTTTGCTTGTTGTTGTCATTTCTTTGCTAACACTTTTTAGTGCCTTTTCCAATGTTAACGTAAGAGTATAGAAGGTAGGTTTAGTAAAAGTATATAGAAAAGTACAAAAGGGAGTAAGTTTTTCCATTAATTGAGCCTAATTAATTATGATGATAACCCAGGGAACGATTGTAAAATATATAGGAAAAAAATGTTACTAGCATTGAATAAAAATTATGAAAACTAAAAACTGTGCTGTATAGTTGCATACTTATATCCCAACTTGCATACTGAGTTCTACAGTATAATATAATGAATGTAGTGTAACTTATGCGTTGTAAATAGAAAAAAGGTACAGGTAGCATCACATACCCTTTGTTAACATAAGAAATTCTTTTTCACATTATATCGATTTTTCAGCAGAGTACGACATGTCATTATTATCAAATGTAACAACGCCTACTCATCGACAGTATTGAGTGTGGAAAACAATAATCACAAGTTCAGTGGTAATATAGTCAGCCTTTGACTACTTTTCATTCATTTTCATACTCAAATTACATTTCGTTACCGACCCCATAAACCCAAAGTTTGAAAATACTTTAATATTTATTTCTACTGGCTATATAACAGTTATATTGTATGTGCTTGATGAAATATTGTAAAATAAGCCCGTTAATGGCACTGGTTTTTTCTTATCATTTTTATTTCTTTCAAATTTAAATGAATTTCTGAAATTCTTTTGTACTTCAACTGTCTGACACAGTGAAAGGAAATAGAAGTATGTAAAATAAGTGGCTATATATAAATATATATATATATATAAGCTGAAGTTCCAATTTTGGTGGCTGTTTTTCTAAGAGCTTAATATTCTAAAACTCTTAATCTCTTCTCTATTATTGATTTCACTCTTTGTTAAATAATTTGTAATGCTGGTTTTTTGTTATTTTGAACTTTCTAGTGATTGTTTTATATGTGGAATATTTAAAAGATAGTTTTTTTATTAGCCAGTGGTGATATACATATATATTTGTACATAATATCTTGCTGAAACATTCATGATAACAGGAAGTATATTTTAGCATCAAAGGGAGTAAATGACTGATTTATCATATTCTAACCTACTTCCTTTATATTTTATATGAGTTTTGATGCAGATTTGATCTACTATTTCCACAAAATTAGGCACCGAAAGGAACATAGACAGGGAAATTATGTTCATGAAACTCTCAGAGAGTCAAAAATGGGTAATTTCAAAGTTTCTTCAGCACACTGACCCTGAAGAAAGTGGAATCATATCTGGAATCACTTCTTTCAATCTGACTGAGATTGTTTGCTGACAAAACAGTTTACAAACGTTTTCTTTGTTAAATTTTGTTTTATAAATTTTGGCAGTTGTGAAACTTTATCGTGTTTTTGTGTGTATTAGTAAACAACTTGCTGACAATTAGGTCTAATTCTGTTGCTATTATTATTATTATTACCATCTGAATTAATTACTACTGTTTCAGTACAAAACGTACCACCAGTGCAATATTAAACAATTTCCTGTTTTCCAGTATACAGTGCTTTAAAGACTTTTGTCAAAATTTTATTAGCTGCATTTCCAGCTGTCTTTTCGTTGGGTACTGTTCTTCAATCTGGTGTCTGAAATTCAATAAATACATAAACAAATAGACGTTCTCCTAATTAACTGATTTTATATACTTGAGTAATTAATTCAAAAGATTGATTGTATCTTTTTTTGACGACTATTTTTGTTTTTTAATTAGCATGTATACTTCTTTTACGTTCAGGTGAAACACTTGTCACACTTAATATGGATGATTTGTTGATTTAAAAAGTTGATGGCAGTTAGAAATGTTTACTTTTGTATTGTTTAGAGAAAGCATTACTTGTAGCTTTGTTTTAATTATAGACTAGTGAATGCGAATATGGCATCTTCGTAATGATAGTTATATGCCTACGTATGTTTCACGAGTGGTTATCACTAATTTCTAATTTAATACCTTTTGCACTGAGCACTTTACCTATCTTAGTTATGCCTTTACCTTTTCCTTAATTTATGTTTCTGAAGTATACAGAAATACACAAATCTTAGTTCTCTTAGTCAGTGTGAACTTCATATCAAAACGACCATAGAGGTTAGTTCGTTTTACCATTTATGGCACATGAGGCTGAGTGACAGATGAGCCTCAGTTTTGATAGTCTGAAGTAGAAAGTGAAAACACAGGAACCAAGCTGAATGGTGATCACAAAACCTGAGTAAAAATCTAATCAAATTATTTTTTTTAACTATGAATAATTATTGTTGGGTTAATTGGAGGGGGGGGACAGGAAGTATTTATTTGCAGTGTGAGGGCGTTTAAATTCATTACTTTGTCTTACGCTATTCTCTGGCAAACTGCATTGGTTATCAAGTCATTAGGAAAACTGCAAAGTAGTTATCATTTGTGTGTTTCACATAAAGATACGAACAGTCTATTAGACTTAATAGCTTAACCATAAAACTGTAATCGTATTTAACAATAATTAAATACCTGATTACTTTGAGCTAATGATTACATTGTTGCACTTAAAGAAAACATTCACAAAATATCACCGAAGATTAAGTGAAATAAAAGTTTATAAACGCCTCAGAGAGTAATTTTTATAGTATATTAGTACAGAAAAGCATTAATATAGTCTTGGACAACAGTTATGGATGGAATTTTTGTTTTGTAATATGGATGGAATTCCCAACAGTTTTCCCCCATTGTGTTGCTTAAAAGTCTGACCTTTCTGTATTGAATAGCTATGTAAATTCATCATTTCTATAATACATTTAACAGATATCAGCCAATACAGACGGTATAAAGACTACAGAAAAGCATCAAGGATGGTTGAAAAAACTTGGTGGAAAACTGAAGATCTGGAAAGAAAGATACTATGTTCTGACAGATACCCACCTATACTATTTTACTGGGACTGACAAAAAGAAGCTTTTGGGTGAATTCGCTCTAAGCGGTGCAAGAATAGAATCTGATCCTGGTGATGTGGAACATAATGGGGATAAATCGTGTTTATTACTGCTAAAGATCAGTAAGTTTCCCAATGATATTTTCGGCAAAACTTTTGACTTGGTAATATATACAAATCAGCAATATAACACGATCGGACATTGCTGTTCTTAGTCCTACTTCACACAATGTTGCTATTTTAACTGATATCATCGTCAAAGCTATTCAAAATAATTTCAACAGTAAAATATATGAAGTACTGTTTAGTAACTGTCTGTTAAGGACGTTGTTGAGACTGGATGTAATGAAAGCGCGTAGATTACTAACCTCCTGAATATCTGTGCGCTACACAAAAAGTTATTTTTCTCCTTCGTTCGTCTTTAACTTGACAAATTTAGCTGATTGAAGTTCGTCGTTATGGGGCACCTTCAACTATGTGTGACCACAGATTTAAATGACACATTCCTGAATAAAAAACTAGCCATCGTATTCAGGGAGGAAGAAATGAAGTAAATTTTACCAGTAAATAGCTATTTATGAACAGTGTGATGCGAAAGTGCACATAAGGTCGGATATAACGGTCTAACTTCGGTATTTATATTGAAGGTAGATATTTTGTCTAATGTCATTAAGGCACTGAAAAAGATACGATCTCGGTTTTTGACTCAGTAAGGACTTTAAGTATGGTGAAAATACCTAAGAGGGCTGAGGCTTATGTTTTAGGTCGCTATCATATATATTAGCTAAACGATTATTCTTTTTTATGGTTTTATAATTGTTACAGACGCTTACCTCAAAGCTTACTATTTCATTCTCGTTTTCTTTGTAAAAATGTAAAATTAATTTTACAAAAGATGGAAATTCGTCGTTGTTGCCAACCGGTCAACAGTTACACAGCCAGGATCAACAACAGATCATACTTTGTGCACCTAATCCACGTGAAAGAAAAGTATGGTTAAGAGCGATAAGAAAAGTGCTTTACTTACAACAAGGTGGTGGTAAGCTGAAAATTCACTATTATAACTTTTAATGTAATTATCATTTGTTCATTCCATAGTAAAGTTCCTTCTGAGTGAAATATGCTGAAAGTGAACTACAAAATATCATTAGATACTTGAAGCTGAGAATACTAATTTCACTAATTTTCTTCACAAGTTGCAGGGCTTGTTTATCGAAAACGGTAACACATTAATACTGTTACTAATTCTGGAAACTGATTAATGGACAAAAAAATACTCTTTTCGATAACTTCATCACCAGGCCCTACAGTTAGTAGTTATAACGACTATAATATTTAAACAGTTATTGTTAATAACAGCATTAAGGTTTTTAATTACACTGAGTCAGTAGTATCGACATAATACAGTTAAAAAGCATCTTAAAGTGATAACATGCATCAAGATAACACTAAACTAAATGAAGTAACGAAAGTAATACAGAATTTATGAACTTAAAGGTTCCAAAGCAAAACAGGGTAGCAGTAGTGGCTAGACTGCTTCTTCTGCACACAGAAGTCCTTTTTTAAGCGAATTGCAATGGACTCTGCTGTTTGGAGTATTTGGTACCTAGACGCCTTTGGTAATTTATTCGGTACCGATAGATGATAGAGAAAAACTCTTCAATACTACGTTTTTGGTCTGTTTGGACGAGGTGATCTAATATAGAACTACCTATTATTTTAATAATAGTTTAGTTTAGCCACACTTTTAGATGTTCCCGGGCACGAAAAACTAAGTTCCTAGAGCAACGGCCAATATAACTGGCTCCACAGGAGTAGTTGAACTGACAGATACAATTACAGGTGGCCAGCCTATGCACTTGGTCTTTCAATTTCGGAATCACAACCGGTTGTGAAGAAAATATAAACTGCAGCTTACTGACACTGAACGTTCTTTAAATCGATTTTCTCAACTTGTTAGTTATTGTTTTGCTTCGTACATCGCCTTTGAATTGTACTCGCATATATAGAGGCGTCTTGTTAATAGATACAGAAGAATTCTTTCCTACTGTTTTGGTCATGTATTTAGTGATGAACTTTTCAGGGTAGCTGTTTTCAATTAGTCTGACGTATACAAATTTAAGTTCGTCTTAGATCTCATCTTCTGAGCCATTAGCTCTGACCGTATACCTTAGGGTCTTTGGCAGGAAGAAAGCTGTGAAAATATTTGTATTGATCTGTTCAAGTACTTTTACTGTGCAAATTCCTTTTTATGCTACCATCTGGTCTTTTTGTCAGCAGGACGTCTGAAAAGGAAATTTTGCTTTGAAATTCTTCTTTCACATGAATCTGATAGCTGAATGCACTTCATTTTTTAAGGGACCATTTTCTAGTTTACTCGGAATAACGGCTGCTAACATGGAATCCAATGGGCAGACTGCTGCCATCCATCTACCATCAGATTTAAAATTCGCACTCATGGTACACTTTAGTAACAATTCTGTAAAGATTTCTACTGGAATCCCAATATTTACTGACTTGTTATTTATTTGTTCACGTATATAAATAACCGTTTCAATCAGTGGTACATTTGTGAATAGGCTTTATATCCAAAGATATCATAATTTTATCTTTGATGTTAATATCTCTAATTGAATCTGTGAATTCAAATTTATCTTTCAATATAATGTAATTAAAAACATTATTATTATTAACAATAATTGTTTAATTATTATGGTCGTATAACTAACCGTAGAACCGGATGATGAAGCTGTCGAAAAGAATATTCTTTGTTCACTAATCAATCCATTAAAATTCTGGAAACAATAAGTGTTCAGGCTCATAAGGTCCTGGTAACATTGAATGGCGTTGGAAATATGCAGCTGACTGATGGGCAGGTGTTGTATCAACTTAACTTTTTTGGAACATTTATAAAACGTTTTGAAATACCTTGATGGATATTTTAAGCATCAGATTATTCTCTTCGCTTAGTTCCACACAGTAATTAGTTCATAAACTTTTTTGCCATTTCAATTAAAGAAAGTTCATTCTTCAAGAGTTATTAATGCTAGTTCAAGATGGCATTATTCAACCGTAAAATATTTAGGTGAAAGTGTCATGATACAGTTTTAACATTTTGTAGTAGAAAAATGGACTGAAAAATTATTGTCAATGCTCATTTTCAGCACGCTTTAGGGTTAACAGTTTTCTGTCTAACCAATCTGAGATTAATCTGTCATGTCCTGAAATATCAAATCCTCCTGGCTGGGAAAAATATTCCTCGGTGCTGTTCATCCGCCTTTTTTCTTTGTCACAAACGTTTATACGACTTTTTAAAGGTCCACTTGTTACTCATATTAGTTGTTGATTTAAGCGCTGATATGTGTTACTTTGTCATTTCAGCCTGACACACCACTTTAAATAATATTCACACTAAGGTTATGTCGTTTTAGAATTAATATACTGATTGGATTTCGGTCTGTTTTCTAGAGTTTCATTATAGAATAATTTCATTTGATAAAAAGTCAACAGTGATGATAATATCTTTTTCTCGAACACAATTTAGTGCTCATAGTCATATCAAGACGTTCACATAACTCTCAGACTTAATATATATATATATATACATTAGTGCCTTAGTATGGTTAAGCAGAATAGCTTGTGCTTGAAAAAATCATCAAAAAATCATTTTATATCAAATAACATTATTTTACAATGGGAATATATTTCTATCACAGTGGCTCGACTCTATTTTTATATTCTCCAGAGTTGTAATTCACTTAAGTTCTCTATAGTGTATATACAACAGAAGCACCTGTGTACACATCGGGCTGAAATACAAAAAAGAAGTTGGAATATTACCTTAACTTACTGTTGTAGTTACTCTTTTTCAAACACTGGATTTAACATCCTATGTCAGCTTGCCTGCATAAACAGGGAGGAAGAGTTTTGCACAGTTGCAATTTATTGTGCTCACGCGAAAGTTAACCCATTTACCAGTCCATATATATAAATATATATGTGTTTCTTAATGCTAATTAAATATATTTCATCCTTTATGGCTACTTAATTTACAGTTTTTAATTGATCATTTGCACTATTCCGCTTAACCAGTTATTTAATCAATGGGTAATACTACACGTAACAAAGAAAAAAAGAGAATGAGCAATAAGCATATGATAACTGTGATAACCGAAACCACTAAACCACTGCTAAATATTAAGAAAGAGAAGAAGAAAGAAATGAACTTAGCGAAGCATATGTATATAATCAATACGATTTCTCTTTTTTTCTCAATAACCATCATTATTAAAATCATAAGAATTGTTGGGAATAAAGGGTTTTAGAGAGAAGCTGAGAGACAGCGTGCTGAGCTATTATATAAGAATGGTAATGAAACGATTGTTTATTCAAGAAAATGTCATTTAAATAACTCCTAAGAGTGTAACAAATAGTTCACTAGACGAAAAATAAATAGTGATTTCAATAATCCCATACTGAGGTTTTACACTTGTGTACATATACTACTTGGATAAAGAACTTGTGTGTGTGTATGTGTGCTAAAAAACGGTCATTCAGATCCATTTACAAAGTAACAAATGCGAAGTGAATGAGATGAGAAGGTTTTTCAAATTGCGGATAAGAAATTATCACACACTGGACTATTTATCCATAAGTCTACTAGCTTTCAAGGTAGACGGATACTTACAAAGAAAATTTTATGTAAAATGAAGTTATTGTTTTATGTATGCTTAACTTCGAATCCGAGATTTACTGAAATCTACCAGTGTCGGTATTACTCAAAGTGAAGGAATGGAAATGACTGTAGAAACAGTTTAAATAATTTGAAAAGTAAAGGCATTTCACAAACATGCCCTGCTTTGGGACCAACACAACTTTGCTCTTCAGCAGTAAGCACCCGCCGGGATTCGAACCCAGGACCTTCTGGTTACAAGGCGAGCTCGTATACCATTAAGCCACTGGGACCCTACCCAATGGCCCATGAATTCTAAGTTCTGCCAATTCACGACATAGCATGACCCTTAGCCAATGTCTTCGGCGAGTATTTGTCCTCACACCCATCCCAAACTAGGACGAAACAGCTGTCCAGTACTCCCAGGTTTTCCAATGGTTCTCTAACTAATTTCAGCTCATGATGAATTCCTGTAACAACTTTACTCTACCAGACTACCTGTGCGCACTTACTTTATCCTTTACGAAATTCGGTTGACTTTTGTCATATTCAATCATTTTTCGGAATGCATGTGTTGAAAACATACCTTTTTTTATTGAAATTGACACTTACTGTTATCTAAATCTTCCAAGAAGGACTTTATTGTAAAGGGATATCAACAAAACAGACGAAGTGTTTTGCCCATCATGAGATTTTCTGAACTGAATTTTATTTGCACTCTAGCCTGGATATTTTCTTTAAGGAGAATTTTTTCCTGGAAAACTGTATGAAATTAAGTGTAAGGATCTGTGTAGTGTTATATAAAATTCTTCATTTTTGTCGAAATACATCGATTATTTGATTATAGAATACAAGGTGGGAGTTAGCGAAAAGAATATTGTTTGTACAGAAAATTGGAGGCTGATTTACTGTGGGAATGTGAAAAGTCTTTTAAAAAAAATCTAAATTACTGACCGTGTGTTCCTATGGTTTACATAAAAGTATGCGGTAAGTAGTGCGCTGAGAGTGAAGCGTTTTCTCTCTCACTATATATATTCTGCAAAGCAGCAACAGAAACATCATTCAGTTCATTATTAGAACAGTTGTGTAGTAAGCCTTCCTGAGATCAAGTCACAACAGGCATATTGTGAGTTTTAAAACCATGTAAAATCCTAAAAATAAGTAACTGAGAAAATGGAATTTTGATAGCTTTTTATCTAAGCGTAGTGTAACACAGATAGATTATCTGTTAACCTATTAAGAATATATAAAACTCTTGTTTTTATTCAAAGCAAACTCATAGTAGTCAATGATGTGACACTAACTAAACAGGAGTTATTATGGGAAATTCATGAATTCAAATAACAAAGGTAAAATAATCAAGCGTCTGTTCAAGTAGGACTTGTTCCCTTGAAATGATAAACTGTGAGTATCAGAGCAGACTATAGCTTGAGTGAACCACTGAAGCATCTTCAGCTGGAAGTTTGCAACAATGATGTCACTCTAAGTATTCATTACACTAAGAGATGAAGAGGTAGCAATGTGGTGAGAGCTGGCTGCTAGCCAAAGTTGGTAGACAGTAATTGACGTCAATGTTTATGTCCCCAATATTGGTGGTGAAAAAATGAGAACAAAGGCTTTGCGTAGGCGGATACAGTTAGCATATGGATGATCTGACACAGCCACGAAGAGATGCAAGGTTAACTTTCTGTGAGAAACAACCAATCAAAAGACTGTATTTTCTACTAACAATAATCTACAATAATGTACACTAAAATCTATAAATTTGTGTTGATTTTCCTTAATAAACGATCTGTTGCCTGGCCCTTGTCTTCTGTTGTTACAGCAACATCTAGATTCAGTAAAATGTGGAAATTCCCTAGACTATCTAAAAGCCGACCATTATATTTTGCTTATATCACTGAGTTTAATGTTACACAGACTCAAAAACTTCTAGGGGAAAACCAACAAACTGTCTGAAGAAGCTACCAGCGAAGACATGACTCTAGGTGAACATCGAGAAGACGGAGGTGATGAAGATAACAAACCGACAACGACAACAAACAGCACCAATCACTATCAACAGAAGAAACTTGAAAGAGGTCACTTCCTTCACTTATCTAGGAAGCATCGTTTCAACCACAGACGGAACAGATGAAGATGTCAAAGCTAGCCGGAATCGGAAAGGCAAGATACACCTTCATCAATCCGAAATTGGTTTGGAAATCTCCTTCATAAAGAAAAAGATTCAGATTTTCAACACAAATGTGAAGTCAGTCATTTCTTCTATATGGGGCAGAGAATTGGCGTATCACGAAAAGCATTTCTCACCGGACGCTGCAGACCTTTATCATCAGTTGCCTTCACTGGCTCCATACTGAAGATCAAATGGCCGTCCAGAAATAGTTAGCAACAAGAGACTCTGGGAAAGAACCAGCCAAGAGCCCATTGCTCAACAAATATGTAGGAGAAAGTTGGGCTGGGCACCCGCTAAGGGGACCAGTGAATGACATCGCGCATCACGCCATCGCCCGAGTAGAACTCGAACAGGAAACGACGAGTTGGGCGTCTGAGAGTGATACGGAGGAGATCGTGCGAGAAGATGAGAGATTATTGGCAAATGTGAGGCCAGCTAAAGAGGACAGAAGAAAATAGAACAAAGTGGCGATGTGTTGTTGGTGCCCTATGTTCCACTCGGAACCCAAGGGGATAATAATAGTAATACTGAGTACCAGATAAACAAATGAAGGAAAACCAAAGGATTATGTCCTTTTGGAAGTGTCTGCAATAGTTGTGGCAGTTGCAAATAGATTTATATATGTTATTAAGCGTAACTTAAGAAGAATACCGTTAGAAATTTATGCACACATTAACATCTGCGTTCCTCATCACACATATCATATCTAATTAGACTAAAATAAGATTGTTACACTAATATTTTGTTTTCAATTAGGACATTATCAAAATCACTGTCAAATCAGAAACCTTCAAATAAACTTTAATTAAAATAACATCATTATTTATTATACTTTGTGAATGATGTCAGCTGTTCTCTTTTTTATCTCATAAAATCAATAAATTTAAAGTACTCAAGGAGAAAAATCAATCACTATGTACTTTAAACGGAATATTTTGGAGACAAACAATATTACACAACACATTTTCAGTTGCGTATTCAAAAATTCAAGTTATTGCATCACTTTGTCCATTTGGAATGTTTCAGAAAAAATTATTTTGCTAAGAAAATTAACAGTCCACAGTTTTAGAACACATAAGTTACTGAAAACTATTTAATCATTTATTTTAGTAATCATACCATTCAACTTCAGGATGAAAGCATCTATATCTGCATTCTAGTTCACGATGAGTTCACTGTCTGTGCGAAACAGGTTTTGCCTGCGTTGTAAATTATCATCGTATACTGCTGGAGATCTGCTAGTATAATTGGCTTGCCTCCTAAACTTCTGGGCTTACAGAAAAACAAATGTCGCCATTAAAGAAAGAGTAGTTAGATGCATTACAACAACTATTTAACTACTTAAATTTTGTATTCGAACAACATAGATTTGATGTAGAAATGAGACCTGAAAATACCAGATTCATTTCCCAAACAGCAGTTAATTACGGAGAATGTTACCTACTTATACAATTACTTTACACAACTAGTAGCTATTAACTTCTGCAGTGATTATCACTATGACTGGTAACATACTGTGACAGTGAATATTTCTACGCTTAACTAACCTGAAAAAACACATTAAAATCTACACATTTTAGCTTAAAAGTGTCTCTATAAGTTATGCCCTGAATATATAAAGTGCAGAGTAAATAAAAACTGATTTTACGCTTAGAGAAACATTCATTTCTCTCAATAATGAAACCTGTAACTGAGTCACTCTGGAGCACTTATAAGCACGGAATGAATATCAGTTTTCTTGGAGTGTTGGCTAGAGGGATTTGATCATGATTTTATGAAAGCTATGTCCAGGAATTCTTACCGAATAACATCTAAGGTTTTATATAAAATAAAAACGCATTATATAAGAATAAAACTTGTGCACTGTGGTAGATTGTAATCCCATTATGGGTAAATTTTGTTTTGATAAAGTCTCACAGTGTTTTACGGAAATGTTTACTGATGACGTTTCGAGCACAATTTATTGCTCATAATCATACCTTGATATGATTATGAGCAATAAATTGTGCTCGAAACGTCATCAGTAAACATTACCGTACAACACTGTGAGACTTTATCAAAACAAAATTTACCTATAATGGAAAAACGCATTATAGCGAACAGTAATATCATATCATCGCACACTTGATTATTAGATTCCGACCGACATTTAGAACTAGAAAGCTACACTTGTTAATATCCAGCTGTCCCCTTTATACCGATTATTCGATATTAAGTGGCCCTAATGATGAATTCAACAGTGTGACTATAAAGCCTATGACTTTAAAGTTATCTAGGTTGGGGGTGAGGGAGGAACACTGAACTCCTGGAGCTCACTGTTATTATACTATGATTACAAGCATAAATAGACACGAAATATGAGTGGAGTGGGCTTCATCAGTCTGCTTATAAAAGTAAACAAAATACCATAAACATTTGAAAATTACAAGTAAAGTTGTTATAAAAGTAACCAGTGAGTAACTGAGTAGCCATTAAGTATATATATATATATATACCACTTGACAAGATTATTAATCCTATGACATTCATATTTGCATATATGTATATATCTGTTACTACATTTATTTCATTTTCCTTAAAATAAAAAAAGCTTTATTTGGAACACACTTGGAAGAAGTTTTTCAATATTCAAAAGGTAGTAATGAATACCTACCACGTGTTGTGTATGAAACGGTGAAATTTATACGTGAAAATGGATTAGATACTGAAGGGATTTTCAGGTAAGTAAAAAAGTTAATGATTTTGCTTTCCTTTCTTCATTGAAAACTTGATTTTCCAGTATGGATTTGCAGGGATTTGATTTGATTTCAACTTTGACCACGAAATGATTTCAGTTAGACAGCTACCGTAAACCAGGGAGCACTAGACAGTTATTTCGTCACAGCTTAGGACTGTTCGGGGTTCGAACCCAGGATCTTCAGGCTGCAAGTTGAACTCGTACGTCATGCAGTCACTGGGACAGAATCCAGTGGCTTATCAACTCTAATTTCTGCCAACCAGTGATCAGTATCTGTTCACATGCCCAACAAGGAGGAAACAGCCGCCCAGTACTCTCCGGTTAACAATGGTTCTCTCACTGAAGTCAATTCTTGATCAACATTTAGTGCTTAATTAGTAAGCAGGTGTATTGTTGTAAAAATAGGGTAAATGAATGCTGATATCCTATTCAATTGATTCGTTGTACTACAATAGCCAATTCAATAAAATGTGAAACTTGTAGTAATGAATTGGAAATGAAAAAGTGGAAGTAGATAGATTGTTTTTTTTATGTGAGACAGTATGCTAACATATTTTCATAATAATAAGGGCACTGATGTTTTCGGTGTTGCTAGAGCACAGTTATCACACACATTTCACTTTATCAGTCAACTGCTGTTCTAAATGCACATTAGTTATCATTTTGTAGCCTGTTGAAAAAGACACGAATATTTGAAATGATACATAATTGTGTATTTATGATAATGAAATTACCATGATAAGACAGTTGGTAATAAAATATTTTGTATGAACTCATTTACACGAACTGATATACATATATTGAAGTGTTCTCATGTAGGAGTTTGTTCTTTAGAGTTGTTTAAAAGAAGCAAACAGCTGGAGAATATCGTTCTTGGAGTCTGCTTTCGGGAGTTAATGATATCCCCTTCAAGTCGAGGTGAATACACGCTATCGTCTTAAAAACTAAACAGTATTTCTCTCTTGTGACTTTACTTTGTTGTTTTGATCTACGAACTGTTCTACGTATCCATTTTCAGCTACGACTTCACTCAGAAGCGAAACCTCTTCTTCTAAGTGGTCAGTGATTCCGATTCTTCTAAATATTAAGAGTGACTGAAATAGTAAGACTTCTTTTTTGACTCAGATGTACAAAAACTCGTTAGATGGCCACTCTATAGAAGTTTTCTACAAATAGATGTTTGAGAATTAATATATGTGTATAACTTGGGGATGGAACCCCGGACGACCTGCATGCTTGGCAAGGATTTTACCACTAAACCTCCGAAACATCATTTGTTTTTCATAATTACGTCAACTGCAACTACACATTCAATGAGTAGATAGAATGCTAAATATCTGCGTTTGTGCAGAAAATTTTATCTGTTCATTTATTCGGACTGTGGGTTTAATTGTTAATACATCGGATTTTTGTAATCGAACAAGTCGCTTATATCTGTAGTGAAATATATTCCTTGTACTTGTCAAGCCATTCATTATTTAAAAATGTGGTTTCGGTACAGTGAATTATAGAGTTTATATTATAAGTATCCAGACCGTAAATTATACGGGTTTCCTGCAGTAATTTGAGCACAAAGTGAGATTGAATCATTATCTCAGGGTGTTTAAGGAAAAATCAAAACAAGATTTTTCTGTGCATTTCGTTACGTAAGCCACAGCTTCTTTAGCTAAACTACTCGAATTTTATTAGCCATCAAAGTACACGGTCAAAAATCACATGAATTGAAGTGAATTGTAGAGCTTATAGTTGTTTCCGTAAATTGTATGGACAAGATACAGCTCCCTGAGTTGAAATTTTGAAATTTTTTGAATAGGAGATCTGAAAATTACCACTTTCTTCAAGACTAGTATAGCAGATAACTGTTATATTTCATTTTATTTTTGATTTCATCACTTTATTTCTTCTTGTTTGTTTTATCTTTCTGCTTAGGCAATTTTCCTTTATTTTCTACTAACTGTCGAATTCATTTCAGGATTTAAGCACTGTAATTACTGCTAAACTTGACTACGGCTAGATCACTTAGAAACTAGTGTAGTGGGCAAAAATCTCATAGTTCATGTATTTGAAAACTCAGGTGAAAGATTTATAGCGATGCTGAATCTGAATAAATTCTGGTACTACTGTGTATATCAGTCAAAAATGTGAAGAAAAGAAAGAAATCTAAAAAGATTTGAGGAAAATAGAAAAGAAAAGAGAATTAGTCTACGAGCTCTCCTTGTAACCAGAAGGTCCTGGGTTCGAACCCTGGCGGGTGCGTACTGATGAGTCCCAAGTTAGGACAAAACAGCTGTCCAGTAGTACTCCTAGGTTTTCCAGTAGTTCCCTAACTTATGCCAGCTCATGGTGAAATACAAAACTGAAAGAATTCACTGAAACTATCTTCAACTCTAATAAACAGAGTTGTTGCTTATTTCACGCAGAAGGGGATGTTATGTTAATTAGCCTTAAAAAGCTCCTAGCAAAAACGTAAAAACTACTGTTCATATTTCACAAAAATGAAGGCCTAATATGAACAAACAGAAAATAATTCACTAAAGCAAATGAAATGGATCTCCTTTATTGAACTGTAATCTTTAAGGACTAGAGTGAAAGGTTTTTATGGTATTCTAACCCGTAATTTTTATTTTTATCGTCATATTTCAACCAGCCAGTACAAGTGTCTATGATTCTCATTGATTACGAGAACTTTTTTCTAATGACTGATGTATTGGTGTTCGCTTTTAGTCCAGAAGTAGTACCCAGCGAAAGATTTTAGACTTCTAAATAAATGTCTACATCTACAAGTTTCATTGAGTATGTAATCCATATCGACTACAGTTTGAGAAGTAAAAATAAGAACATTTTATTTTTATCAAAAAAACGACAAAAAATATCATTACAAAATATTTGACTAGATATGTTGTAAACAGTTTGCTTCTTATTTAAAGTTCAGAACTATGTGAAAAAATAAGTTTCATAGCTGTATAGTCACAACTGACGTAAGGTTTTGAAGAATGAATTATCTTTGAAATGTCAACCAGTAGACTATGCTGTTTCGCTGTATGCTGCATCCAATAAACACATGAATATGAAATTATGTGCTACCAGAGTGCCTGAGTTTTATACATGTACTATAACGCAAACCCTGAAAAACTAAACTGTAAAGACGATCCTCTGTAGACCTTTTATCTACAAATTTTGTATGTCTCAGTTTATTTGCTTTCCATCCTTGAAAACTGGGAATGTTTCTTATTTCACAAAGCATTGTGATATGCTTGTGATGAAGGCAAATCAAAAATAAGGTGTTTATATTGCTAAAAGTTACAAAAGTTAATTGAAGGGAGATAACTGTTCGAAAACTAGATATCTACAAATAAATACGGGGAAAAAACTAAATTTTAGTAAAGTAGCATAGATGTCCATTTTGTTTTATATGTTATTTAAAAAAATATTATAGCTTGATTCCACACGGCATTTTTGGTACAAGTATGGAATTTTCAGCATGTGAGGTCGGTAGCCCAAATTTAGCAGGCCAACCGTTGTGCGTCGGCCGGGGGTCGAACTCTGGACCATGTGCATGGTCGGCGAGAGTCAGAACGGCCGTGCTACCGACGCAAATATGGAGATTAAATTTAACGCGATGAATGACTGTACTAATAAAATTCATTAAGTAAAAGATTACTTTTAGAAAACCACTGCTGAAAGCAAAAGGTTTTTGATATTAGCAATTCAATGATAGACAAAAACGTTTTTTGCATTATAGTGACTATAATACAGTTATGAACATTGAATTTATTTTCCGAAAAATTCAATTGGCATGTACGAAGGTGTATGGCTGACTACAGAATCTATTCTTGTTCCCACACACATACATTTTATGATTCTGTAAACTCTTTGCTTTCAATTATATTTAAATTTTTTTCCCCATTAGAAAGTGCGGTAAACAGAATGCAATTCAAGCGTTGGCTGATTTATATGATTCAGCTGCACCCGGGCCTATCCTGATTCCAAATGAGCATGATGTACACCTTGTTTCAGGATTACTAAAATACTATTTAAGAGAATTACCTGAACCAGTTATTCCATATAAATATTATGATAAGCTAAAAGCCTCTGGTTATCGTATAGCTGATGGCGATGATTTACCAGAATACATTGACATATTTCAAAAGTTACCACCACCGAACTACAATTTACTAAAATATCTGTGCCAATTCCTGTTTGAGGTAACGTCTTTTTTGTAATATTAATAATTTTATTTAAAATCCCATATTTTATAAACAACCAGCTTATATCCTTCACTGATCATTACACGGATATACTTATGTATGCATTCAAATTCTTGTGGTGTTAAATATTAGGCTGTACCAACAGTTTATTTACTGAATACCAGTAATGCTTTTCTGTTCTAATGATTTCTTACGCTTTGATTTTATTGGCTGAGGAGTAAGTGCAACCATTGTGAGGAAAAAATTCTGTTCTGACATCGTGAATTTCTCTGCTAAACTTCCTTGTTTTCTAAACGAGGAAATCCGCTGCTGAGCAGTTTGTTTCCAAGAGAGCCGAGTGAGTTTCCAGTGTTTACATCACCTGATTATGCTTTTCACCTGCTGACCCTAAAGAAAAGTATCTACCGCATTGAGATGAGTAGCTTTGAGTCAATGCCTTCATCGAACTACTGACAATGACCGTCTGCTGCACTTCGTTGTCAATCGCTAAACAATTTAGATACATTCTACTAATGAAATAAAAGTGTTTAAGAAATGTGGAACACCTTAATCAGCTACTAGTGACAGAATTTTGCTGACAAAGTGATCAACAACCTTAATTAAAGTCAAAATATTGAGCGGAGAAATATATTACTTTTCAATTAGTTTTCTAAAAACTGCTCTACAATAATATATGTGGTTTCACATCAAAATTATGTCAGTTATGTGGAGACGTTAGTCACAAATTGACTGATCTTGAATCCCGTAATTAATTTCATCCCTTCTGTACCTCAAACACTGATAATTACTGTTGACTAACAATCTGTTGCCAACTTCTACTAATTAACTCTCTTGACTCTTGTAATCAAATATTTTCACTCCTCCGCTTTAGTCGGCTTCAGGATTGCCCATAATCTTTCTTCTCCTCACATTATACCCTCCACACCATCCTCAGAAGTCACTCGTCGTTTTCCTCCTGGGTTTCACTCGAGGGTACAGCATGCGATGTTACTCAGCGGACTCCTCAGGGTGTGTCCTATCTATCTCCATTTCCTTCGACATATTTCTTGGGTGATAAGTTGTTGGTTGTTTCGTTCCCAGAATTCCTTGTTGTTAATCCTGTCTGGATGGGCATCTGTTGTATATTGCCAAGCGAAGGCGGTCTGTTGGAGATTCTGTTGGTTAAGCAACAAGTCTTTGAACCATGCACAAGTACTGACTTCATATTGGTATTGAAAATCCGAATGTTGTCCCTTATACTGATTGCAGAAGATTTTCACACTGATTTAGGAGTAATGGATGTCTCTCTTGCTTTTAAGACCCTACCTTTGACATCTTCATCCCTGCTGTCATTTGTAGTTGAAACGATGCAGTCTAGATAAGTGAGAGATTTCTTTCGTTTATGGTTGGGCCTTGGGTATCGTCACCACCTCTGTCTTCTTTATGTTCACTTGAATTCCTGTCTCCGCTGTTTCTTCTGACTCCTTGTTGGTTTTCGCCCGTAGATATTTGGGTTTGTGTGGCAGTAGACATAGATCGCCTACAAAATTCATATCTCCTAGAGTCTTCTCATCGATCCGACGCATTTCTGCCTCCTTGCTCCTCACAGTCTCCCACATGATCCAGTCCACCACAATCAGGATTGTTCGCAAAATGTTACAATATGCAGTATGATAAAGCCTTACAAGATATTGATTACAGCATTCCATCTGTAATATTCCGTGTCATCATAACTGACACCCGGAAGTAACAACAACCACAACAAGCAGATATTGAAGATACTACAAGCAATCATCAGCTTTAATCAAAATCTGACCTAGTAGTTTCACAAAGTTTGTTAAATGTAGACATGTATAAATATTCCATTTTTAGAAATCTTAGTCACATGATTGTCTACATTTGTAACAAATTGTTGATATGGTCATGGATGATAACTTATATCCGAAATATTCTCCAGTAAGTGATAATACCTAATCATGTGCTTTATCTAGTAGTCCTGTCTAACTTAAATTTCAACAATCTAGGAAGTAGCAAAACTGGTCTAATGTTAACACAGCAGTATCAAGTATGTACGGAGAGTTTACTGACTACATAAAGTATCAGTTTTTTGGAAACATTTTTGCAATAGTTTCTTTTTTTGAGAAACAAATGTAGAATTACTTGACAGACGTCCAACAACATATTGGTGTAAAAAATGGCTGAATTGTCACATTGCAAGTAAAGAAAAGAAACTTAAACTTCTAACATTTAGTTTTGACGTTAATTCAAAGTAAGACACTGGACAGCGTTTTATGAAGAATAAACACCATCTCATTTTATGACGTAAATTCACTAGTTCTTATTTGTACTTTGTTTTTTTACTATGTGAAAAAAACTTATTAAATGTTGCAATGTTAAAATTTAAGCACCACCAACTACCAATCAGCAAATGACCTCAAACGCACCAATCACGTGAAGGAGGCATTTTTGTGTATGGAATACATATATTTATGAAAAAATGCATGAAAACTGCATAAAAGTGTTACAGAGGACACCTATCTCTCAGATTTGTTAAAAGTAGCTCTCTGAATTAGGTTGGATTATCAACAGAGTATAATTCCATTGTGGGTAAAATTTATTTTGATAAAATCTCACGGTGTTATGCAATAATATTTACTGGGCAATAAACTGTACTCTGAACTTCATCAGTAAATATTACTGTATAACACTGTGCGGCTTTATCAAAATAAATGTTGCCTACAATGGAATTATATTCTACTACAGTGCAAAAGTTGTATTCTTATATCAACAGAGTAATTTAACCACATTCTGTGCACGTAATTATTTAGGTCTTCTAACCCTAACAATAAGCCCAATCTTTCGTAAAACTATCCCTAACGTGAAAATATGCCTAAGCTAACCCTAATCTAACTTGAAATAACCTCAATGTCACTTTTATTAAGATAACCTAAGCCTAACTTGTCCTTGGCCTAAACCGTAACTTAATCTTTCTCAAACCTAAGCTGAAACTTCCCAGATATCCCATTTAATAATCTAACACGTCGATGAGCATTGTTTAATTGATGATGACAACAATACTTCCCAGGTTTCACTTACTTGCTCAGTGAGTGTTTCAAGGTCATTGGTGAGGTCGCACTCCATCGGTAGTTAGTGGTGCTTAAGGTTTAACGTGACCGTAAATATTGTCCTTAATTTCAAGTTCTAACATACAATTTGGGAGTGATAAGAAGTATAAGCTATGGAATGGTGATTCTTATGTGAATACAATATAATTACTATTGAGGGCACTATTATGATGCCAGATGTCAAGTGTCAGCCAGCAGAAAGCTGCGTTTGATCTAGGTTTTGTTCCCGTTGGTCCATATTGGAAAGGCGCATTTAAGAGATTTAATCTGACCACATGTCCTTCAAGTTTTAAACGTACGTCACTCAATATGAAAGTCAGATACCATTCTGTCAACTCTTCTAGGTTGTAAATGATCCTCGGAAATACTTTATGATGTTGTTGTTTTCTGTCAGGCGGACTGTTTCATTCAGAGCTCCAATTATCATTCTGAACAACATTTTCAGCGTTAGCTTCAATGTGGAGTGAGCTTTCGGAATAATCCGTAGCCAAAATATTCGTTTTTCCTAATGAGTTTGACTGTGATTGGTTGTTCGAGGAGATTTTCTCAGGATTGAAATCTTCTGTACTAGTGACAGCCGTTTTGTTGACCGAATATTTGACTTTTCAGTCGCTTGACTTATTCAATATTGACTGATAAACTTGATATATATCCATGTGTCTCTTAATCGCAAGTTTTTAAAAGTACTTGGCTTCTAGGGATAATTGGCATTCTACATGTTCCATCTAAGAGTTCTCCATTTTGCCAGTCGATGTCTATGTTTACCCACGTGAATTGATATCAATGACTGCGTGCCAGTTTATGTGAAGATTAAAGAGACATCCTCATCGGTTAGTGTAATGTTGTTTGCAGTCAGACGATCGAATGATGAAGCATCGGGTTCATGAGGCGATGAATATTAGTATAGGAGAATGAAACACACTTGTCTCTGCATTATTAAATGATGTAACCATCTTGTGTTCAAGGTTGATGGCGATTTATCGATCAAGAGTGAAACGTGGTCAAATAGATAACTGACACAAGACCTGAATAAAGGCTTTTAATATTTCATCATAGAAATAGATACGTCAAGAAGTTCTGAATCAAGGTTTTGGACTTGTATTCACTCTTTAGTAGAAGGAATAGTGGGAAGAAACTGTCAAAGCCATTTTGGCATAAAACGTACACAGGTTTCATTCTCTCTGTGGTTTTCACTTTGGAAAGACTGAACTTTATGAGTCATTGAATATTTTTAGAAATGATAATCTTTTACTTTAGCTGGACTAATCTTGCTTTATGCCTTCATTGGGTTTCAGTTTTTCATTTTTGAAAAATGATACACTTAGGTGAAATGCAGTATTTAGACTCCACTTTTAAACAAAATGGCTTTACCTTCAGCCTGATTTGATGACCGCTTTAACGAATAACTTTGTTCCCACACATCTCAAAGCCTGAAGTAGGTTGGCCATTCCAAGTTTCAAAAGAAATTTCAATCTCTCTCTGAGGGTTCTCATTGTCACCAAGTAGCCCCATTCCCCTTTATGAAGGTAGACAACTCATTACTACTTCTGAAGTGAAAAAGGTGAATAGCTATTTGATCTTGCTATGGGAATTCAAAGAAGCATTTAACCGCAAATAGATAGATGCATGGTAGGTTGGCTGAAATATTTGATTTCTAGCTTGTTAGTTACAGGTTATAATCTCATTCCACCCATTTACGTTTGAAGATTAAGGAACCTTTGAATATGTAGCATGTTTCGTAGCCTAGCGCATAAAAACTGTACTATATATATGAGTTGAACTAATTAGTTGTACTAACTGCATAATAAGATGAAGTGTTTTTTATGATCTCTTCGTTGTGATCACAGTATATAAAAGTTTCTGTGAATGTTAATCCACTTATTTATAACTTAG